GCAAACAGCAGGAGTTGAAATGGAAGCGATTTTAGGACACTTAGGGGTCAAGTAGTCAAGTAGGTGCCCCTTTTGTCCTGCACTTCACCCACTCAGGAACAGTGCAGTAGTTTCAAATGGTCCAGCTATAAACAGAAGATAGTGGTAAGGCCATACTGTTTTTGTACATGACTAACACGTTCTGAGCAGAGGCGGAGGCAGACACCCGGGGCTTAGTCCTAAAGGGTAGTATGCATGTGGGATTTGGGGGGGGTGTTTAGAAATGACTGAAAGATTAATAGGCTCTGTTTTGAGTTATGTTCAAAAAAGCATGACTTCATATAGGGAAAATAAATATCACATCTGCAGGACACCTTAAACTAGTTTTTAAATTAAGGCAAGGCAGAACAGGGCTGCATCAAGACACGCGGACTAAACCCCAATTCAACCAGACCCAGAACTGTTCCAGAATTAAAACAGGACTACAACAGTTCAAAATCAGGACTACTTAGGACTTAACCAAGACAGAACCAGAATCAGAACTAGATGATAGTAGCACTAAAAATCACCATAGACCTGCACTACACTTATTTTTTTATTCTACCAAAGTACACTATTTCGATTCAGAAAAGTTTATATAATTATTTAGCCTTGTTGTGCAAACAAGCCTGCATAACTTAATAAATGTAGAATTTGAAAAATAACAAACCTAAAAAGAAACACTAGGTACGAGATACATGAGGACCTATGATACGGTGATACTTTGGGTAAACAACCATGTGACTAACATGTGTGTCTCACCTGCTCTTGTTCTCTCTCTGCTCCTCTCTCTCCCTCTCTGTTCCTCTCTCTCCCTCTTTGTGCTGACAATCATCAAATATACAGTTGAAACCAGATATTTACACACTCTTCAGAAAACACACTTTTTTAAATGTAATATCAAATCAGACTAAATGTTTATTTTTTTAGATTGATAAATAAAAAAACATATTTGTTAACTTTAAGAGTAAAGAGAGAAACTATCTGTATATCTTAATTGTAAATGGCACCAAATTGCATTCAAAATTGAGCCACACTTATGGAGCTCCACAATTCTTTTCCTGGCGTTTTGGTTGACATCGCTCGATTTTCCCATGTTAAAGAAACAGGCTCTGTGTTTTTCCTTATATGCATCCACAGGTGTGCCACCAATTTACTCACATGGACTCTACTAACCTATCAGAAGCTTCTTCAGCTCAGAATGGAATCGTCTGGAGTTTTCTTATTAATTACCAATAAACTTAGTGTATATGTACTCCTAAATTTGATGAAAGTGATAATAAATAGACAGCTCTGTCTCTCTTTATTCTGACATTTAACTAATTCAAAAGATATTTCAATATTGATTTATCCAAAACAAAACAAGTTTACTCTAAATTGATGTTGTACAGTAAAAAAATGTTCTTGTGTTTTCCATAAAGTGTATGTAAATATCCGGTTTAAACTGTGAATATACTGCTGTGTATTGAAATTCCTCTTGTTTTGCATAGAAATATACTGAACAACATACAAAGCATAATATATAAAATACTACCAGAGTTTTTGTTTTGTTTTTTTGAAAGAAGCCCCTTATGTCCATTCTTGTATATCAGTACATTACTTAAACCGATTTATTTAGCCGTGGAGGGTAACAACTGAAAATATGAAATAAACACACATGTAAGCTAAGACTCTCTAAAGAAACAGCATTGTTGTTGTTCGGCTTTTCATTTCGCCATTTGTTGATTCACTTGAAGAGCAAGTAACGTAATAATGGGTCAAGTGATCAGTTTGATTTCAATCTTTCGTGATACACCATCATATTTACATTATTTGTACAGTACGAATGATTTGCTTTGGTACCTGGTCGAACTTCAGTTCTCCTCTGTCTGCCTGGCTGCATTTCTCCAACAGCGCACTCGCAGGCAGCAGCTGCCCCGCCCCCTCGCTCAGTCGCTTAGTGCCTGAGCTCGGATCATACCAATATCAGGGGGGATTCACGCACAGTCGTAAATTCCCACAGTGTGCACTATGTGCTTCGAATATTGTGTGTCAGCCAGGCATCTAACTATGAAAAAATTACACTCCAAAAGACCCCGGGCTTCTGAAAAAACAACCCGGGCTTAAACCCAGTAAGCCACCCCCCCCCCCCCTCCGCCACTGGTTCTGAGACAAGTCCAGGAGATCTGTGTAGAGTCAACCTACAGCAGATTTCTTACACAGTTTGCAGACACATAACTGCACATTTTGATCTGTTTAAAAGATTGAAAAAAAATCGCTTAAAGACTTTTTGTATACACTTCATTTTCACATTTAACTGTATTTTCATCTCCATTTACAGATGAGTGGGAGAGAGAAAATAAATACATTTGCCACATCATGGAGCATTTTTGAAAATAACAGATATGGGATATGCGCAGCTAAAATAAATGCAGTTTGAATACTCATCAGTACTAGAGAGCATTTGCAGAGACACTCAGAGTGAAGGGAAAACTGATTACTGTATTTCACAGGAGAAATATCAGATACCTGTAAAATATCAATTATGCATTATGCATTTCACCTCAGAGAGGATCAACATTCAGCACATTTCTTTCTTAACTGTGAAAAAAACAGACATCCAACCTGTTGGTGAAGCATGCAAGAAATAAAGTGGTTTGTTGTTGTTTTTTGTATGAGACAGCAAATCCATGTAGTATTTCAGATAATCAAAGTACATATGAATTTAAATTAATAACATAAACATGCCTATGCAAGACATTAATTATACAGTAGACCTTGGAATATTATTTATAATTACACAGATTTCTGTCAAAATTATACTTAAATTTCCAGAAATGTTCATGAAACACATAAATTATCCAGTTAAAAGAGCTTAAAAATACTCACCAAAGCACAGGACCTGAATCAAAGTAGAAGTCACTCTGCAGAAAAAAGATGTATCATCCAGATCAACACCAGGTATCTATACAGCAACAAAATGAGATGTTACATCTTTGTGTGTCCAAAAGCAGTAAGCACAGTCACCAGTCACTTGTTATTGTAATGAACTCATTTTTCTGTTTATTTGTTATTACTGGTTGATATGTCTCTCTGGATGTAACCTATGAAAGATTTCGATCCAGTGAGCAATTTCCTCTTGTGAGTAATAGCATGTGAGAAATAACACACAGCCTCAGGCTCTGTAAAGTGCATGCCAAAAGGGACCTGAACAGGTGCAAGATTTTCTATAATGGGTTTCCATATTCTGTGCATGTGGTACAGCATGCTGTTTGCTGTTCCACAAACAAAAGCTGGGTCATCACTACAGTGTTTCTGTAGCTTCAAGCTTATTTCAGGGATTTTGGTATCACTGAAAAAGAGCTACTGTTTTGGGGTTTGTTTGTTTTTTATTAATCTTGGCCCAAGCCTGCAGAGGAAAACACCTTTTGACCCTCTGCTGTTTCCTTACAGTCCAAATCTAGGAGCAGTCATCAGCTGCTCATCTGCTGCAGAGAGCATTCCCATATGTGATAGCAACAACTACAGGGTGAGGATCACCTTCTTTGATTTCTCAAGTGCATTTAATACGATTGAGCCACTGCTACTGAGAGGGAAACTACAGGAAATGTCATTATACATGTCCAGCATCTCATGGATTACTGACAGACAGTTGGCAGTATGTGAGATTGGGCAGCGCTCTATCTGATTTGGTGATGTGCAGTACAGGAGCTCCACTGGGGGGACTGTCCTGTCTCTGTCCTGTTCACCTTGTACCATGGCCCAATTCTAGGTCATGGCACCTACAAACATTTTGCAGTGGTTGGACCTGTTATTGATGGGCAAGGAGGGAGAGGACAGAGCACTAGGGAATTATTTTGTGGAGTAGTCTGGAGTGGTCTCCTCCTGAATGTAAAAATCACTGAGGTGGAAAGTGACTTTTGAAAGAAGAGGACAGCTGTTTTGTCTGTCCAGGGGCAGGGTGTTGATATGAAGGAGGCTGAACAAGTTGAACTGGAAGACCAACATAGAGGCTGCTGCAGAAAGTGGAAAAGTAGGATCTACTGCTTATGAAAAAGCTGAGATCCTTCAGCGTGTGCAGCAAAATGATGATTTTTGATCAGTCAGTTGTGGCATGTGCAGGGTGCTTTGCTGTGGTCTGACGGGGGAGCAGCATCAGAGCAGTCTGATTAGGAAGACTGCTCCATGAATCTGGCTTCAAACTTCAAACTGAAGTTGTGGAGAGGATAAATTGTTATTCATCAAAATCCTGACCACCCTCTGCATCATTTACTGGACAGTCAGCAGAAAATTGCACCGCAGCAATTTTCTAATGTTGTAAACCTGCTCAACATTTGGCAATAAACCCCTTTCTGATTCTGATTCTGAAAACCTTCTCTAGCAGGCTGATTCAGCTCCAGTTCCACAAGGACAGATACAGGAAATGTTTCATACCACATCAGCCTCCATTATATATCTGTCTCGCAGACAGGTATCTGCAGGATAATATTATGATTATCGTCATTTTGTGCAGTAGATATTATTTGTCATCATTTCAACTGCTGTAATAAAAATTGACCTAAATATGGTCTATGTAAAGTATTTCTCCTGGTATTATCTTCTCATCTACTGCACAAAATTAGCTCTGATGACTCAAGTTGCCTACAAGTAGTCTCACTGCTTGTGCAACCCCCCACCACACACACATGTACTTAATAATACTAATACAACCCACACCAAATCACTAATACAATTTTACAGTTACATTTAAACTTTTAAGTGTCTTCACTGGATCGTCTGACACCCAACCCGAGTTCAAGAGTTCAGGACACCCGCTTTTTCTCACAAATTTCCATTCTTGGCACACAGATCACGCAGTTTCGTCATTTCCTTTTCTGTTTTGTGATTGGAGGAATTTCTGACGTTATCATTGCCTCTTACGAGCGGTCTCTCATCCCTGCTGGTGATCCTTACTGATGTCCCATCATCTCTCCATTATGCTGAATGTTAATCATATGCACAATTGTAGCTTAAATGAGTGTTAGAAATGTAAAGACAAACAGGTGTTTCCGCACTCTGTCTGAAAACCGTAGTGTTTAGCATCCAGTGTCTTTTTAAAATCTCTTATCTCCAGATTTCGTGGTATGGCTCAATGGAAGTTGCTCACTGCGTCTTGTACAGTGAATCATGCACTGATTCATGCCGCTGCAAATTAAAGTGCGCCAGCTCATCCCGTTCAAGCAACAGGATATTTTTTATTGCAGGAGTAGGCTCTCCGCTGGAATATTATAGAAACTCCAAAGTTCATCAGAGGGAGAGAGAAAGAGAGCGCTGAGGAGAGAGTGGGGGGAAGGAAGCAGACGTTTTTCTTCGCAATCCCAACCTCTGCCCCTACAATCCTTTCCTGATTTTCACCGGGAATACACGCTGGAATACGAGGAATTTCTTTCAGATGCACCTCTACATCAATGGCAAGTATGAAACTGTCTACTTTCTCTCGCACTTAAGCCTAACTTATTTTTTTAAACCGTTTAACTTTTTACTTGTTTTAAGGCAACCGAGAAAAGCATTTTGTAGCACGACTATTCTTAGAAACTATACATGTTTGAGGCGGTGCTGTAAACCTAAACGTTTCCTGCTGCGGCTCAACAGGTGGTTCTTTGACGCCGACTTGTAGTATTATATACGAGAGCCATTTTTCAGTTTAATAGACGGGCTTCATTAGGTCTCACGGTTCATCGGTGTTATTATGAGATTAGACAGATAATCATATTGTGCAATTAGTACCGGATAAATCATCCTTTCCTTTTTTCTGTGACAAGAAGTGCGTTGCTCAAATGCAGAAAACGCGCAACAGGTTTATTTATGCCTCCTGTGAATTTCGTCAGCAATGAAGGTCCTAAATATTTGTGTTGTGGGGGCAGTCGTTGTATAAACAGGGGCTGTATACAGAGAGACGTGATTTGCAGTTATAGATAATGAGTCAGACTCAGGCAGAGATAATAAAAAAAAAGCTTGCGAAATCATTCAAGTCACTCGAATGTATTCAATTAAATCACGTAACAAGAAGCTCACAATATGTCAGATAAGCTGTAAATGCAGTTATATGCATGCTCGCTTTTCCCCATTTTTCTGTATAGCTAGCAATTGGCCAGTGCGTTTTCTTGGTAATTTCTGTCTTAAAACCGCTTTTTCTCCTCTTGAGATATTACCCTGTCTGTGTCTGCGCTTGAGGAAATCATGTATAGACCTACCCTGAAGGCATAACACTTTAATTAAATCCACTTTATCCACCCATCCACACCAAAGCTCCACAGTTCATTTATTTGGAATCTAGATTTCTATTTTTTGTCGTAATAATTGTTCCAGTGTTGACTCATTTTAATATCAAATCATCAGTATGAGTCAATTTTCAGTGGACAACATCACTAAAACTTTCCAGCCCCGACTACTGTTATTTAACCAGTAAGATAAGCAGCCCACTAAAGTTTTTTTTATGTGTTTCTCCTGAGTGTGTGTCATCTTTGAGTAGGGCTGCCACGATTTGTTGACTAGTCACGATTACGTCGACTATCAAAATCGTCGACGACTGATTTAATAGTCGACGTGTCGTTTGAAGCTTTGTAAGATCGCAAAAGACGCAGGAATAATAGCAGGATTTAAGAGTGTAATAACGGACTGAAACAGAAGATGGCAGCACTGCATGTACAAGGATTCCAGCTGCCGTTAAACCCCGAAGAAGAAGTAGCTGTGTCCCAGAATTCATAGCGCGGCCCAGCTTAGTTTCCAACAATGGCGGTAGCTAGTTAGTTTTAATATTACTCTTATTATTCTTTCTGGGTCACAAAATAAACGTTTAACATATTTTCAGGCGAGAATGTAGCTGTGTAAACCTCAAATATCGGCTCAGTTTATCAGGACACCACATATTTTCAAAAGCGCTCCGACGTTTTCGGAGACGTCTGTTACCCACTAGCTCGATAGCTAGCCGGGGGCTGGGTCACTAGCTCCGTGAGAACACCGGACTCCCGGCAAATTGTTTTCAAACCCACCGCCGTCTTTCGCGACTCAGGTTAAATATATATGAGTCACTTAGATAAATCAAAAATGTTGTTGTTTGGCTTTTTTTTTTTTTTTTTTTTTTTTTTAGTATTTTATTTGTTCCTGAGTAAATCGGTTTGGCTGAGATTAAAGTTATAGTTTTTACACAGCTGAATAAACGTCAAGCAGACAGCTGATTATCAGAAGTGTGAGATGCTGGAGAATATACTCCGGTGTCCTGTTATATTTTAGATAGCAAGGAGTTTATTAAACTTTACCGAAACAATCTGCAAATTTCATTAAAATTGAATAAACTATCATCTTGTCTTTATTTTTAGTTAGCACCTTAAAAGCTTAAAGCTGTAAGCTAATGATAGTTATATAAGCTGTAGTTTTACGTCCAGTGGATGATGATCTGATTAGTCGACTAATCGCAAAAATAATCGGTGACTAGTCGACTATCAAAATAATCGTTTGTGGCAGCCCTATCTTTGAGACACATACACAGATAGATTCCAGCACTGAAAGAGGAAGACCACAGAGAAAGAGTGAAAGAGGATATAATGAGGGTTGGTGTGACAGAGGAGGGATGTTAAGGATAGGATGAGGTGGAGGCTGATGACCCCTGAAGGACCAGCCGAAAGAAGGAAAAGATTAATATGTAGCTTTTGTTTTGTTTCCTCTGTACAGTACAATTCGATTTAAGTGAAATTGCATGATGATATTACCAAAATTACACAGATTAAATCATTTATTAGCACGGGAGTGCAGGGACCGCTGAAAAATGCAAAATGACATCTTTTATTTCACACATTAATCACAGAAAGACAAACAGAAATGTCACCTTCATCCATAGCAACAGGTTTATTTCAGTCTACTTTCTTAAAAATCAATATCCCAAACAGTTCAGATAAGTGCTTTTCCAGTACCATATTGATATGCTTTAATAAGTCATGCTGTGCTTTTCACATTCAAACATAGTATCAAGTGTAGTGTTGAATAGGCTTTTATCAATCCAAAGGTTCCATCATACAGCACTGGCAGCATATTCATGGCTCCTTTCCGCCTATGACACAGTTTGTCTACTGTGTTGTTGAAGGGATTCGCCGCCCTCCCCTTGCGTAAGTGTGAAAGAAAGCCAGCTGGACAGTGAAAGAGATGGAATAAGGGAGGTTTTAGACTAATAATAATTCAAACCCAAACTGCAAAGGTGGAAAGATTACAGGAAACGTTTATCTGTGTATTGAAATATTGCATCATCACTGTATCTTCTTCACCTTATCTTTCTTCGGGCGGTTTTCTCAAGCTTTCCTGTGGTCATGTTTCAGCCATGTTCTTTGAATAATGATTTGTGTTTTTATTTTCAAGAGTAAAAGTGTTTAAAAACTCACAGTTAGCTTTCAAATGTCTTGTAGCTCTCTTCACGACTACACAGACACAGGTTGGTTCTTTGAAAGGGGCGTTTATTACTTGGACTTTCTCTTCTCCTTAGTTACACCATCGTCAATACGCCGTGAGAACTGGTTATATGAGTGAACAGTGCAAACACATTAGCAACTTTCCAGTACACATATTTAGTTCAAAAGTTAAACATAGACATTTTTAAAAAATGACAAAAACCTCGTTGACCGCTTGTCCTGAAAAGAGGTCTTTAAGTCTTTGTGTTGCTTTGCTTTCAATAAACCTTTAGCTTAGCAGCGCTTCATGAGAGACATCTGCTCACCTGCAGTCCATGAAAAGTCTTGAATACTCTCGCTAAGGTTGTTCTCGTGCAACATTAGTTCTTACACATTTCAAGTGAAGACATTTTTTAACCCTAAATTATATTCATGAAATTATGTAATCCATTATAAATCAATCATCCACATCATGAACTCTATACAGAACGTTGTTTAACAGCATTTACATGTCTAATCTTGCCATTTTTTGTGTTTTCCAGATGCTGTTACTTGGGGTTTACAACAAAATGGACCGTAGACTGTGGATAAACTGACCAGGGCTAGTGAAGGAATACACATTTTCCAGAGTGAAAGTCAACTTGTCCATTATCCATTGAGTGTAAACACACTGATTAAAACCTGCCGTTCCACACATGCCATGGTGTTTAGTTAAACAAGCACTGGATGAAAGCTTTCCAAAATGTGACAGGATCTAGAGGTGTCCATCTCACCTAACATGATGGAATCTAGTCTGTCACCTTCAGCAGACCCTCTACACCACAATGCCAGCAGCTATGTAAACTTCAGCAACAACAGCTGGAGTGGACTCCGTGATGGTGACTCATTGAGGAACAATCAAACCCTGACCTTCCATGATCGCATCAACAGCGCCCTGCTGGGAGTTTTTCTGGGATTTCTTTCCCTTCTCACGATCATAATGAACCTGCTCGTACTGTATGCTGTGAAGAAAGAGAAGAGCCTCCACACTGTAGGGAACCTCTATATTGTTAGCCTCTCTGTGGCAGATCTCATTGTAGGGACCACGGTCATGCCTTTGAACTTGGTATATTTGCTGGAGGATGAATGGAAGCTGGGGCGGGCTGTCTGCCAGTTTTGGCTGATTATGGACTACGTGGCAAGCACAGCTTCAATTTTCAGCTTATTTATCCTCTGTTTGGATCGGTACCGCTCAGTGAGACAGCCGCTTAAGTACCTAAAATATCGAACACGGGGAAAAGCCAGTGTGATGATTTCTGGAGCCTGGCTGCTGTCCATGATGTGGATTATTCCTATTTTAGGATGGAGGTCTTTCACACACGTGGACCTCAAACCTGAAGAGGAAAATAAGTGTGACACAGATTTCCGTTTTGTCACGTGGTTTAAGGTCATTACCGCAGTCTTCAACTTCTACGTACCCTCTGTTTTGATGTTGTGGTTTTACACATATATCTATTTGGCAGTAAGACAACATCTACGGGACAGAGAGAGAATCATTCATCCAACTGATTCATTTGGAGAAAACGACAATGGACAAAATCCTCAAACCCCTGTGAAAAATGACTCCAAGTCACCTAAGAGGGAAAGTGAGGTTTTAATGAAAGGATCCAAAACAGAAAAACTGCTAGACCAGAATACTCTCGAACAGACAGATCCCCTTGAAGACGCTGATAAAAACAGTAAAACTGCTCTATCGAGAGCACACAGAAAAATTGGTGTAAAGTGCCAGCAGACGTCATTGCTTGCCATGACAACAAAAGGTCTCAGAATGGCACGAAAGACTAAAAGGTGCTCTTTGTCTCCTGAGGAGAAGCAACCAGACTGCGAGGTTCCCCAGAGCCAGCCATCGGCACCACAGGACGTGATTTGCTCAGGTGGAAATAATGAGAACAAACTTCAAGCGTCTTTAAACGAATGCCATGTGACAGTGCCAAACCCAGTGAGCGGAGTGTGCGATACCAACAAGGTATCAGACGTGCAGAGATACACATCTGTGCTCAGCAACAACTACGACCCCAGCCAAGCTCTACCTTGGGCCGAGGAAGGAGTAGAAGATGCCAAATTAGACGCGGATAATGAAATTACTCTGAGACAGGCGTGGCAAAAGTTCATTGACCAATCACGCCATCGCATCCACAGTCTGAGGATCCACAAAGAGCACAAAGCAGCCAAGCAGCTGGGCTTCATAATTGCTGCTTTCTTATTGTGTTGGATACCATACTTCATAGCTTTCATGGTCATGGCCTTCTGTAGAGAGTGCGTCCACCATGACCTGCACATGTTCACCATATGGCTGGGTTACATCAACTCTACTCTAAACCCTTTTATATACCCGCTCTGCAATGGAAACTTTAAACGGGTCTTTAAAAATATTCTTAACATTCCTTTGTGACTGTAAATGAGCAGAACACAATCGCAGGCATCTAAATGTTGAGACAACAGCAGAATTAGCAAAAGGAAAAAATGTCTCATCAAGCGTTGACCAAAAAAGTGTGCTATTCCTTTTATGTTCCGCATTTTATTTTTATAAACACCAATTCTTTGGACTCAAGACTCAAGCTGAGGGTAATATGTCAGTTTAATGTTATTTATTTTGTTTATGTTACACTAATTATAATAGTAATTATAATAATAATAATAGACTGTGTCACAGAAGAATTTGAGCTTAAAGTTTTGCTAAAAACTATGTAAAAATTGTATTTTGAAAAAAAAAATTGAATTGATTTTCTGTGCTAGGAATATACCATAAAACACATAATGTGAAATATGATTAATATTGTTTAAAAAAAAGAACAAGGAGAAGATTTTCTTTGAAAATGACAACCACATTGTGAGTCATTCTCCTTCTTATTATTTAAACAGAGTACGAGACTTTAGATGCATCTTGGTGCTTGGTACTAGTGATCGAGGAAGGGCTGAATTATGATACCTACTGTCTTTATTTTTTATGTTTTTTTAATTAAGAATGGCAACTCTAAACAAGCACATTCAGTCACCTACACTCCCTTAAAGAAAACCTCTGAACTTGTTCTACCTGTTCGTGCTTTGACATCTATTTCCTGCCATTAAGTCTAATAGGTTAATATATTGAATTGAAAGCCTTTATTGTCATTATACATAGTATAACGAAATTGGAAATATATGAGCAAAAACCTGATTATGAAGACAAAACTACTACCAGAACAAACTATTTGTCACAGTCACAGTCTTCTTTCGAACTGCAGAAAGGTTTTGTTTCTCTCCTTGATGGGAATAAGTTGCTTATCTGTTATAAGGTGTAGCACGTCGCTACACGTCATTAGCCAAAGAGTGTCGAAAATGATTCAAAAATGCTGCAGCACACTATAAATCTGAGACTTCTTTAATGGATTTGTGTCAGTATTTTGTAACAAACGCATTCAAGTGCATCCAGGCTATACACAGAGCTTCATGGTGCAACTCTTTCTCCCAGTAACTCCCGTGTTAGCTATGCTAGAAGCTTCCTTGTAAAAAGAAAATAAGGATAAATGGAATTAAGGACATTTCCTTACACTGTTACTTTTTGCACAGTGTCACTTCAGATTTTATGGGGGACAGGGACAAAGAACTGAATTTCATATTTTAATATGTGAATCATAGTGTCTGAAATAATGTTGTAATGAGCGTGGCAATGTTGTGAGTCACTGTGCAGTCAAATCAAACAAATCAGAGGAGGCTGAAATTGAGCTGGAAGAGGTGATGATGGGAAGACGGATGTGTGTGACTGCACTTCTCATTAAAAACAAGACAAAGGGGAAGAAAATTTCATTTTATATGCTGTTTCTCTGTTGCTTGAAAAGGTTCTGCAAAGAGCTTCCCCTGAGGTAACTCTTTGTAATGAATATTATGTCTCACTGAATGTTTTGCTGTTTGTGTGTGTGTTTTTTGTTGTTTTTTTTTTTAAAGTAGTTTGGATACTTTTATGTCAAAGTGAAGTTGCTGCCTATGCGCTTTTAATGCTGGGTGTCTCATGTTGAGGGCAAAGTTTTTGAATAATGCTTATAATGATCACCAGAGTATGATTAAAACCTGTGGGTGTGTTCTGGTTTATATTCTGTTTTTTGTTATTGGTGTCTTGTAAGCCTATTTAGGCTGGCATATTATTTCATGCATGATACAGTAATGAAATAAAATTGAAGTCAATCTGAAAGAAAAAAAATTGATGACATTTAATGTCCTGTTTATGATGTACACCTAAAACTAAAAATAAAACGTTCTAATGTGCTAGTCCTTCGAGCCTCACGTCATTAACACTATTAACTTCAAACTGTTCTTCTAATTTTATTTTGTCATTAGTTTGAGGTGCTGACTTTGGCAAGAACATTTATGTGAAATACTGAACACATGACCTAATTAACCTGGGACAAAACCCAATGCCCATGCTGCAGCAAGATTCCATCAAATGTACCCATTGGTCACTTTATTAAGTACACCTGTTCAACTACAGCTTTTCAAACCAATCATCTGAATGGGGAAGAAAGGTTATTTAAGTGACCTTCAATGCGGCATGGTTGTTGGTGACAGACAAGCAGAGTGTTTCAGAAACTGTTGATCTGCTGAGAGTTTCCCACACAGCCATCTCTAGGGCTTACAGAGAACGGTTCGAAAAAGAGAAAATATCCAGCAAAAGGCAGTTCTCTGGAAGAAAATGCCAGGTTGTTTTCACAGATCGGGGTGAATAGCCAGACTGCAGCAGTAACTTAGATAATCATTTGTTACAACCAAGGTATGCAGAAAGGCATCTCTGATTGTACATGTTGAATCTTGAAGCAGATGCATTTCTGCATTTCGTTGCCCTGTACCTGTGCATGTGCAATGACAATAAAGTTGAATTCTATTCTATTCTATTCTATTCTATGGGCTACAGCAGTAAAAGACCACAACAGGCGCCAGTGCTTCCAGCTAAGAACAGGAAACTGAGCTACAGTTCACAAAGGTTCATCTATAATGGACAAGCGGAGACTGGAAAAACACTGGCTACTCTGCTGAGTCTCAGTTTCTCCTGCAATGTTGAGATAGTTTACCTAATTTTGCCTAAACAAGATGATAGATAGAGCCATCCTGCCTTGTATGAGTGATTCAACCTGCTGGTGATGTAATGATGAAGGGATATTTTTTTGGCACAGTTTAGGTCCTGTAGTACCAAGTGAAGATCCTTTAAATGAGCACTGTGTAAATGCCACCGCCTACCCGAGTAATGTTGCTGACCATGTCCATCCCTATATGACCACAGTGTAGCCATCTTCTTTTTAAGCCATATTGGGGAATTTTAGCATTTTTTTTTAGCAAATTATGATGCACATATACTGTCAATTAATACATTCATATTTTCTCCTGTGCAAAATGGAGAAATAGCTCTAGAAAAAAAGACAAGAACTCTATTTCTCATAATATAGTGCCACTTAATTGTCTTTGTGGCAGTTTCAATAATATTCACCAAAATCTGCAAAGCTTGTGACTTACCAGGATAAATATTTCATTTAACTTTTCAGTGTGCTGAAACTGTTATATTTCCTCTCTTGTATGGGACGTATAACAAGGACATTTTCAACAATATGCCAATGTCCCTCATCCCCTCTCTCTTAATAACCCAGCACGGGCATCATTCATGAGTTTCTATGGCGTGTTTCTCAGGTTACTTGTACTAAAATAAGAACTGTTTTTCATTTAATCTGTAATCTTTAAACTGGAATGGACTCCATGGTACAGATCTGAAAATCTCAATTCAGTTTTACCTCATAGTTTACTGTAATAAACCAGTTTGTGTTGAAGGTCTGAATCAGAAAAACATACACATGCTTTCATCAAAAATTGAAACCTGGAGCGGTCTTATCCAAGCGAGAAAAATCAGAAAAAAAAAAAAGAAATTCAATTATTAATACTAACACATATATCTCACCTTACAATAATTAAACCATGAGCTGTTGAAGAGGGAAAACTCAGCCTGTATGAGTAGGAGCAGTTTTATATCAGTCAAGCTTTTTTTTAAAGATTAGTTAAGAGCAACACAACTTGACACAGTCTGCATCTGCATGAGCATCACTGTGAGATGTTTCCTTGTTTCATTAAACCAGTTAACACAGCTCACACAATGTCCCTGAACTTACCCTGTTGAAGATTTCCACTGTAAACATGTACTCCATCTAACAAACTGAGTACTTTCAAAGCATTTTATGCTTTCCTTGAACCGCTAGTCTCATCTGCTACTTCAGAGTGTTCTTGTGTTTAAATGATAAGGTACAAGGAAACCTTGAGCACTTGTACTTTCGTTCCTGTGTTTTCCTTCAGGAAGGATTCAAGAGCTCAGTGGCTTTTACATGTGGTAATAGCTGTTCCATGTAGAACAAGCTATTTAAAAAAGGGGGGTGCTATTATTACATGCTGTCCTTCACAGTGCAGGGGCTACCACTGGATATTGTGGTTGTCATCCAGGGAAATACAAATACAAAGAGGTGACACTTTGTGGGCTTCATATTATTTTAGATGGATTTTCTCAGTTTGTTTTAGCCTCCTGGCCAAAACATGACATCTTTTAATTTATATCGTGCGTTTTTGTACAGCAGCACAGTTTTGCGACGGTCCCTAACCCTGTTTCCGTACGGTCCGCCGCTCACATACAGCTAATTTCTGGTGAAAACTGAAGTCATAATTGAGCCCAAAAGTAGGAGCAGAAGTAGCTTTACCGGTTTCACCACTATTATGTTGCGTTTGTAATTTCACAAGCTAAAACCGGCGTTCATTACAAACGCTTCAGCCTCTGTAGCAGTCTCCGAAATGAAAAGAAACGGCGCCTACAGGTTTTTGTCCGTTTTCTCCTGCTTTATCGTCTGCGCGTTCTTGTTTATGTTTTGGTTCTTTGTATTTTACTCAATGGCGCTTGCACCATAAAGACAAGAAACCGTAGCAAGTAAGCTAAAGCTTACCCACACTGCACTGCTTTATTTACAAGACTCGCGATCACATGATCTCCTTCACCAGGAAGTAAGGTTTTATGGTAAGTGCACAAGTCCTGTTACACGTTAACGTATAAACATGTATGTATCTGTCTGAAGCGGACATAAATTGTCTGTGTTGTGATGCAGGGATGTCTTATTTTATGATTTATTTCCATGAGAATTTTCGTCGCGTTAAAAAGCGCTTGAAGTGCTAAAGCTGCTGGGTTTCATTGTGTGGTCTCTATTAAGCTGACTTTACTTCTCAGCAAGAGAAAACAGTTAAAGACACGAAAAAAAGTAAACGTAGAATTTAATCATTAACATGCCAAGACAGACAGCCATTAAATGCTTAGTCTTGAAGGTTTGGCGCTCATTATTTAACCAGAGTTTAGGCTCTCTTTGCAGCTGAGCTGGTCAAAAATATTTTAAAATCCTTTATCTTTTCATGGATTATGCACGTGGATGGGATACAGGAAAGGAAACACGAATCCTCTTTTTTTTCTTTTTTAAATGTCCAGTTTATTGTTCATGTAGCTTGCCATCACATATGGAGTTATTTGTGACAGATATACAGTACCAAGAGTTAAAGAGAATTTTTATAAGATGGGACTGAGACCACCCACACATCATAGCGTCTTGTATGGTTTGAAGATTGTGGTGCTGACAAAAAGACGGTTGAGCTGAAAATGTTCAAATCTTGTTGGG